AAAATTATTTAAAATTAATATTTTACAATTTAAAATAATTCCCACCTTAAAACACTTTTGGGAAATTTTGACATTGTTCTTTCCTCTACTTGTCTAACACTCTTTTAAACATTCTAAAGAGTTCAAGCACCAATCGTTTATGGAAAAGCAAGTGTTGTCTTTTTTGGACTTTACCCAGGGTACCATGATCTGTCTTGAAAGAGCTCCATTGTTTCTTCCTTACTCCCTACCTTGTTTTGAAATAAAATATTGTTTCTCCACTGCCTTATGGTCCAGCATTCCGTGAAAAATAACATCATCCATGTTTGGGCAGCTTCACGAACCTACACTGTAAAAATCTTCAGTTGCTTCAATACCTGAAAATCCTGGAGGATGTTTTCTCGGGGAAAATACTCCACGCTCAAGTCAGCAATACTCGATATTCTAGAGAGGGAAACTCTCAAGAGTAATTGTGAAGAAAGAAGCATGATGGAGTTGTTACCTTGAATGGAGGTATGTGGGGGTGTTATAGCCCCTCGGTGATGACATGAGTCCATACATGTAAGTATCTGATTGGTCCACGTGTAAGCACCCACGTGGGTGTGTCTAGACTAGTGTATGGATGCATCTTCATTTTAGAGCCCAGGGATGAAAGATTGGGCTTGCTATATATGGTCCAGGCTAAATGTTGGGCATCTTCCCAACATTACTCCCCCCCTAGCGTTCACTTGACGAACTTAGGTAATTACATTTGTGGCCCACTGTTCAACCTGAAGAATAGGACCTATAATCTTTTGACTTATGGACGACCTCATTAGTGGCCGAGCTAACAGATCAAAACATACATCCGAACGAGAAGGCTTGACTTAGACAAGCTACGATGTATCCATGCCGAACCCTAGATGAGGAAGCCTTTGAGAAAAAGGTTACACCTGGATGATCTAACCATAGAGCAACCTCGTCTAGTAGAGTGCAAATGGCAGACCTGATACTATGGCGATCTCACTCGCGTGAACCCAGCACGTTAGCGAGCTCAATAAGCTCTTAAAAGGCAAGCTCGTATAATGAATCTTCAAACTTCTAAATGGAGTAGGCTTAGAAAGAGATAAGGTTTCCTGTTAAGATGTATGTTGCGTATGAAGTGTTACTTGGTGAGCTCATCCACATTAATGTGAAAATGAGCAGACATATGATAACCTCAACCATGGTAATCTTTCAAAAATTCTAGAATGGAGCGGATCTCCAAGGATATATTGTTGAAGAGTGGCTAAAGTATGACAATCTCAACTCACGCATCCTGTAAATTTAAAACGGAGAGAAATGAGGTCGTCCACACAATTGCGAAGACAAGCTAATGCACGATGATCTCACCCCTCCAAAATCTTAAGGAGGAAATCTGTTACGATCTGAATCTTGGATGTTTTCTAAGGAAATCTATTACGATTTGAACCTTGGACATTTTCAAAATTTAAAACGAAGCAAATCTCTAAGGAGATATGGTTTATCTTTCTGCCTTCCCCGCAATAAATGCTAGCTCAGCATTTAAAGAGATTTGACAGCTAAAGCCGACGGACATTACATGCCTAGCCTTAAATAGTTGCCACGTGTAGAGTTCTAACTGGCGTGCCAGAAACATGCGTACAGTAATTAAGGTTGCATTTTTCTATTTCAAAAAAAGGAAAAGAAATGATCATATACCCATTTTCTGTTTCTCTTTCATTGTATTTTTGTCATTCTCTGCAGCAAAGGTCTTTAAAGCTTTTGACACGAAGCTCTGAAACCACAGCCACAAAAGGACTTTTTGTGCCAAATACTCAGGTAGAAATGGAGTTTTTTAGAGAACTTAGGGAGCTTCGGGGTAACTAGGACAGGGAAGGAAAAAAGGGGGTTGTTTTTGTGGAACCGATTTCGATGATACTGCCACCGAAACTGCAAAACTTGTTGGAAACGATAACGCCTGAGAATAGCGCTAGTTCAAGCGCACCTAGTGACTCCTGTGGCATCACTCTTCTCCGTCTAAAGACTCATCATTAGAGAGGACATCTAGCGACAGAGAAAGTGTGGGGGAAGGTGATGTAGAGGTGGATGTGCCTGTGCTTGCTAAATGGGAGGGTAAAACCATCAATGGTAGATTGAGTAACATCCATCGAGTACCACAAAGCTTGTCTGCCGAGTTTTAGGTTTAGGGCGGCACTTCATCACGAAGTGGTAGACGGTGCAACCATCATCAAGGGGTATAAAAAATTGGAGGAGATGGTGAAACAATACCAAATCCCTAGAACCATTTTATTACAAGCTAGCACCAAGAATGAGAGAGTGTGCATAGTGTCTTGAATGGGATGGATTCCGATGTACATAGACCATTTTGACATCGATCTGCATTTTCCTTTGCCTAGGCTAATTTTTGATGTTCTGGTAGAGTACGAACTGGCACTAACGCAGCTGACCCCTAACAATATAAAATTTATCATAGGATTTATGCTGTTGTGCGAAAGGTTGGAGATACCTACGAAGGCAATAGTGTTTAGGTCGCTCTTTTTGTGCCAACTAAGTACCACTCAAACGAGGTGATACTACATATCTGGAAGAGAGAAGATGATGATTTTCACAAACATAAGGAATAAGGTCACCAAATGGAAGAGGCGATTTATTTTTGTCAAAGATACCCAAACAAAGAGGATTAATAACGAGCTAGCTGCTCATATCTCTGAGTGGCGCCCAAGTCACACTTATATGAACTACCCCACGTTAACGCCTGACGATATGGCTCTAAAGGACAAAATAGTAGATTATGTCAAGGCAAAGAGATTGGTTGACCTGGAGGCCTTGGTTATCCTAGAGCAACTCGCGATGCTTGGGTTTGTGGATGTCGCAAACCTGTATACCGAAGGTACATTTCTATTATAAGTTATGATTACTAATCGATTTAAGTTTTATTGTATTTGTTTATGCAAGAGAAATGAGCAGCATGTAGGAGAGGCAGCTTGAACAAGCTCAGCGCTCGCGGTGCTGCCGAGGGGAGGGTAGTAGCACACACAGGCAAACACGCTTTGATGAGCAACCTGCAACGCCACCTCACAGCTCATCACATAGAGGTTTGAGCTCGGTATCAAGGCCTCATGCCAAGTAGAAAGTTGAAACAATGCCTTCGAGTTCTAGCAGGCGTGCTCGTGATGAGTCAGATGCTGAGGATGACATATGTAATACCCCAAAAATTTCAAGAACAAATAAGTGTGAGCTAGGGACCTATTTGTGAGAAAATCATATTGTTGAGCTTAATCATCAATTTTCAAAAGTCAAGGGGTCAAAAGGTTTTGGATAAGGCCGGCTGACTCATTTCCTTTTTTTCCTTTTTCTTTTTCTTTCTTTCTTTCTTTCTTTCTTTCCAGCCATTTTCGCGTCTGCTTTGTTTTCTTTCTCCTTACAGCCGAAGTGAACCCAGCCATTTCCAGCGCCTCCACCAAAGAAAAATTGGTAAGATCTTGGTAAATTCCTTCCCTTTTCTTGTTAAACAACAAGATTTAAAGCTTAAAACTCTCTCCCTCAACCCAGGAATCCCGGATCTGCTGCTTTCTTCCTTCCCTACCGCCGGCCACAGTTGGGTGTGAGTTCTGTTTTTCCTGGTAAAATCAGCCAGGAAACTCCTCTTTTTAGCCTTGATGTATGTGGGTTTACTCTAATTCTCCTTTCTTTCAATTGCTAGAAGTCTGCGTGAAGCTCCTCCAATTCCCGTCGGTCTTCCCCATACTGCCAGCTCCAGCCTTGCTTGCTGAGCATTTCTGGTAAGTTGGCTTCTCTAATCTCCGAAAATTGATGGATTAATTGTTGCTTGGTGAGGTTAATTGGTTGAATGGGGGCTGGGTAGTCCGAAAATTGCTGGGAATAGGAGGTTAATTTCCGGTAGCCTTGCAATGAGTTTTTGAGTCAATTTATATAGGAAATCCTTTAATTGGGCTGCTGTGATGTTGTATGAAAGAAAAAGAGGAAATTCTCGAGACTTGCCCATTTTTTTTGTCAAGGCCGGTTCTCCCAAATTCTTGTCCATGAGTTTGAAAATTGTATATGTGTAATTGTATAATTATATATACATAGATATTAATTCGAAAATATTGTGATTAGGTTCTTGATCGTCTTGTGACCTTAGCACTTGGATTAGGCCTTCTGTCCTGTGCAATTAAGGTAAGTAAATCATGGTAATGCCCTTAAATTTTTGAAACATATTTTAATTGTTTTTTGAGATGGTGGCGAGGCTTAAATGGATTTAATTGCATTTGAGCATGATTAAAAAGGGGAAATTGAACCTTTATTATTTTCCTTATTTTCTAGAATTGAGCATGCCACATGAGATTCTTCGGTTTATTTTTTGAAAGTGAGAACGATCATGAATCGTGGTTTTTTGTAAATCTTGCTGGGTTTTGTCTCCGATGTGGTCATGTTATTAGTGACCCTGCTAGTGGGGGAGGTTTATAAACGCTAGCACATGTCGACATGTTAGTGATAGAACCGGTTCGCTTGTGATATCCTACTAGTGGGATTATACACTAGTAATCGTGTGCCTGCCAGTGGGAGGTTTATAACACTGGCCATGACTAATAGAGGAGACCACTATGTGATTTTACTTTGCATTAATGGTTGTTATTGAAATGCTCTGTTTATGTTTCAACCGGTTATTTGGCATGCTTTAAATTTTGATTCCGGGCACCCATGTTTACTTACTGAGATATTTTATCTTACGGTTTCCTTGTCCATCATTTCAGGTACTGAGACCCAACGCATGGGAAGCCCAGGGGAGTGATGAGCTAGACGGCTAGGCATTTTTGGATTCAGTTTTGTAGCTAGGCCGCTAGTCACCCATGCTTGACTTAGAAACTTTTGTGTACAGAACTCCTTTAGTGATAGTAAGGATTGTATAGATGAAGTTATAACTCTATGTATGTTTTGACGAGTAAATATTTAGGAAGAAAAAGAAATTAGATATTATCTGAATTATCTGAATTAGTAATTATGAACTCAGTAAGTTTCAAGCCTTGTGCATTGTGGGACCCGTCCCAAGTGCACGGCGTTTGTTTTGCTCTTGGTTTAGGGCGTGACAACATACCACTCATTCGGCGGAGAACAAGCTTTGGAGCTTAGCTTGTTTAGCCTGCCATGGTACGTTCGTTTAACGTGCCTCTAGCCCAGGCACATGATGCTGTGAAGACTGTGCCAGCGTCTACATCTGCATCAGGCCCAAGGATTGCATACTTGGAAGGCTTCAATTACACAAGAATTGACTGCTAGGTCACCATGGTTCAGGGTATGCAAAGTTTTGTTCCTCCAATGGACAGACAATGCGCGAAGGGTTACATACAGCAGCATGGGGGTCATGCTACTATGTTGAAATTGATGGACGTAAGTACTTTCTTCAACCTTTGTGCCAGTGTACTTTCTTGGTTTTTTGTTAAAAACTAATACTATGAGTTGTGTGGCAGGCGTTTAGTTATGCGGACGCACTATTCAAGTGCGAGCAGAAAGCTCGTGGGCAAACCCGTGAGCTCACTAAAAACTACAAGCGATTGGCTTCTAAGAAGGCAAGCTTAGAAGATGAGGTCAATCGCTTGCAAAGCTCTGAAATGGCCAACTGAGTTACGTCACTAAGAGCCGAGCTGACGGGTTGGCCAATTAGGTGAACGAGTTGAAGGAAAAGCTGGATAAGGGTCAAGCTAAAAGGGGCAACAAGATTCAAGCCACAAGGGATGAAGCCAGCCATGTTGAGGATTATGCCAAGCATGCAGAAGCTGATAGGATAAGGTTTTGAGCGAGCTAAACTCTTTGAAGTAGAGAGTGGCCGAAGCCAATCAGAACCTTGTCTGAGTCGAAGCATCACTTGATAGAGCCAAGAAGTCTCACCAATGCTTTATATGTATTACACGAGCACAAAGGGCAAAGTGGCTAGTTGGCTCTGAGATGTTTCAGGATGTCGTGGCGGTTGCTTCAGCTAATACCATAACAGAGATCTATAATGATATCCATGGGAAGGTACTGCATCATCGACCCGACTTCCCAATTGGCTAGTTGGTCTATTATGAGTGAAAGGAGATAGACGAGCAAGGCAAGAGTCTTACCCCTCTTGTTGATACAAAAATGAAGCTGAGGTGGGAGCTGAACGAGGAAAGAGTGTCCGTGTGGCCTTCATCTGTTGTAGAAGAAGAGGAAGACGTGGAGGGCTTACCAAGCTTTGATGCGTGGGTGGTAGAGCTGCTTGAAGAATAAGCTGAACCTTCAAGTACTCCACCAACTTCTCAGGCGACACGCAAGCTTTTCCTCCTCTAGTTGGTCCTACTCCAGCCTGACCTTCTCCAGCTCGTGCTTTTTTAGCTCATGCTGATGCATCCGTCCCTGTTGACTTGATGAATGACTAGGGTTTTAGACTTAGTTTTTTCTTTTGTATTTTTTGTATTGGTCAAACGACCTTTTTGAACAATTTTATCATCGTCTCATGTACTTGAATGTATAAATGTGTGTAAAGAAATACAATTTGGGAGATTTTCTATGAAATTTCATATTCATTAAATTTTGCATACAATTTACACCCTTTGAATATGCTTAATTACAATACAGACTAGTTGTAATATTTCCTAAGGTTATGTATATTCCAAGTGAACGGTAATTGGCGACCTTGTGAATCTACTAACAAATAAGATCCAGGTCGTTTAATATAAATAACCATATAAGGACCCTCCCAGTTAGGAGCGAGCTTGCCCATGTGTGAATAAGTATTAGTGAGCCCAGTTTTGTGTAAAACTAGGTTGCCGACCTGAAATTGACAAGCATGCACTCTTTTATTGTAAAATCTAGCAACACGATTTTGATAGGCCATGTTTTTCATCTGAGATATCTCCCTAACCTCCTCCACAAGGTCTAGGTTTTCTCTTAGGAGTTGTTCATTATTAGAATCGTTATGTCGAGCTGATCTGTTAGGCGACAAGCTGATTTCTATAGGGATTACGGCCTCAGCTCTGTAGGCAAGACAAAATGGGGTTTCTCCTATAGTCGAGCTAGGCATAATACAACATGACCAAAGCACTTTGTTGAGCTCATCAACTCAGTTAGAGTGTGCTACTAAGACACGTATCTTAAGGTTGCGCAAAATGATTTTATTGGTTGACTCCGCTTACCCATTTGACTGGGGAGTGTAGATGGATGTCAGAGTGAGCTCGATGCTGTAGTCATTACAAAACGACTTGAGCGCTGTCGCTCGGAACTGAGGACCATTATCAGCTATGATTGGCTTAGGGATACCAAACTTACACACAAACACATTGGCTAACACACAAATGTATGTGCATGTAATGCATACATAGCTTGAACCATTAAAGAGTACCTACACAATATGGAATTGAATAGGAACTCCTTTATCTTCTTTTCAGTTGTTGTGGACAATGGTTTGGCTTTTATCCACTTAGTGAAGTAATCCATAGCAACAATGAGATGTGTGCAGCCTCCTTTACCTTTAACAAAGGGATCGAGCATATCAACTCTATATTGAGTGAAAGGCCAGGGTGACATGAGAGAAGACAGCATTTCCCTTGTTTCCAATGAGATATTCTCGTTTAGCTTGGAGACAAACGGGAAGTTTGTGTGAATTTTAGAACGAGCTCAGATACCTAGCATGTGAACATCGTCAGCGTTGAACTAGCAAGTTGGACATTTTTTTACGTAACTTTGTGCATCATCAACCATAGTGGGCTAGTAATACCCATGCCAAAGAGTTTCCGAGCTAGGGTTTTTCCCCTTATGTGTGTGCCACATACTCTCTCATGAACTTCTCTTATTGCATACTCAGCTTAAGGAGTGAGGCAACGTAGTAGAGGCATTGAAGCTGTTCTTTATATAGTTGATCGTCAATCAGGGTGAAATGTGCCACCCTGCATCTAATTAATCGAGCATCAGACGGGTTCTTAGGCAATTCACCATCTCGTAAATAATTAATCAAAGGTGTGGTCCAGCTCGGTGATGAGGGATCTGTGCTCAACACCTGGCATTCAGCTGCGAGGTCAGCATAGCTTGGTGCATCAAGAATCTCTACGAATGTTGTTCTTTAAGGATTAATGTCTTGTGACGAAGCTAACTTTGACAGTTCATCAGCTTGCTTGTTGTTTGCCCTCAGTATTTTGTCAATCTAAAACGAAATAAAGCCTGATTTCAACTTGTTGACCACAAAGGCATAACGATCGAGCTGAGGGTCCCTAATATTACAACTTTAATTCACTTGGTTTATTGTGAGTTGTAAATCACTAAAGACTCTTATGCTTTACGCTTTCAGCTCGAATGCCAATTCAATATCGTAAATGAGTGCTTCGTATTCAGCAGCATTATTGGTTGTTTGAAATTTGAATCTCAATGCATGCTCGGATTTAAAATCATCTGGGCCTATTAACACTGCTCATGCCCTTGATCCTTCAACACTTGCAGCTCCGTCTACGTATAGTGCCCATACGGGGTGCAAGGGCATGGTTTCTTCCACAATCACTAGGTGACATTCAACTAGAAAGTCTGCCAAAGCTTGACCCTTTATAGCTGTACATGGCTCGAATTTGAGATCGTACTCGCTTAACTCGACTGCTTATCCAGTTAGTTGTCCAAAAAGCTTAAGTTTTTGTAATATCTTCCTTAGCGATAGGTCGATGAAAGCAATAATCTGATGAGATTGGAAGTATGCTCTTAACTTTCGAACAGTGCACACAAGGGCGAAAGCAATCTTTTCAGCAATTGGGTAATTCCTTTCTGTACCTTTTAGAACTTTGCTTATATATTAAATGGGTTTTTGGTGTTGATCTTGCTATCTTAGCAAAACCAAGCTGACTACGTCATCTATAATCCCCAGGTATAAATATAACTTCTCTCCCTCAATAGGTCTAAAGAGTAAGGGTGGCGATACCAAGTATTGTTTAAGCTCGTTAAAAGCCCGTTGGCATTCATCAGTCCATTGGAAGTCTTGGGCTCTCTTAAAGCTTTAAAGAATGGAAGACATCTTTCTGCTGACTTGGTGATGAATCTGTGTAAAGCAACGAGACAGCCAGTTAGACACTGCACTTCTTTTATTGTGTTTGGAGGTTCCATTTGTTGGACGACCTAAACTTTGTCCGGGTTCACCTCAATTCCCTCCTTGGATACCACATAGCCCAGAAATTTGCCTGATTCCATAGCAAAGGTACACTTAAGAGGATTTAACTTCATCTGTGCTAGTCGTAGGTTTTGGAACGTTTCATTGAGGTCGTCTACATGATCTTCAGCTTGCAGGCTAGTGATAATCATGTCATCAACATAAACTTCAATATTCTTACCGATCTGAAGTTTAAAGACGACCTGAATTAACTTTTGATATGTGGCCCCGGCATTCTTCAATCCAAATGGCATGATGACGTAGCAGTATATGGCATCGCCCGCATAGAATGTCATTTTCTCCTGGTCGTCCAACCACAATTGAACTTGATGATATCTTGAGTTGGCATCTAAGAAGCTCATGTGCTCGTGACCTGCTACACACTCTACTAACTTCTCCACATTAGGCAAGGGGTGTAGGTCTTTGGGACATGCTTCATTTAAGCTCGTGAAGTCAATGCACATTCTCCACTTGCCGTTAGGTTTTTTTGGTGAGTATTCAACCCTTCTAATAAAGCTTGCTTGTAACAGCTTCTGTACTTCTTCATCTATAGTGCCTTGCTTATTAAGGCCAAAAAGACGACGCTTTTAAACCACTAGCTTCCTTGTGGGGTCTGTACTAAGCTTGTGGATAGCAAATTCTATTGGAATCCCTGGCATTTCATCTGTTGTCCATGAAAAGACATCCTAGTTGGATTTTAAAAACTCTAAGAGCTTATCTATTTCTTTCGTTGTAAGTTTGGTTCCTATCTTCACTGTTTTCTCAAGCTCATCTGGGTTTAAAGGAACCGTCTTCAGAAGTTCCACTGGCTCGACCCTCTACTCTACATTCTCACATCAATGATTTATGTCGAATATGCTCATCGTCTGTAGGTCTGATTGGCTCGGCCTGGGAACCTAAGAGGAAGAGGCCTTTGGCAACACAACAAGCTCAACTTTCTTGAATGTATCTTGATAGCACGCTTTAGCCATTTTTTGGTTTCCCTTGAGCACTCTTATTCCTTGAGGAGTTGGGAATTTCATACAAAGATGCGGTTGGGAAATGACATCCTTCAATTCGCAAATAGTGGCTCTCTCTATTATGGCATTAAAAGCTAATTCCATCTTGACTACTAAGAAGCTAACTGAGGCCATCCTAAACTATGGTTTTGTACCCATGTAGATGGGGAGAGTGATTACCCCTTCAATAAGGACGGGATGGTTATCAAACCCATATATTGGCCCTTCATACTTCTTCAAGGAAGCTGGGTTTAGTTGCATCTTTTAGAAGCAGCTCCAATATAAGATGTCTGGAGAGCTGCCCGTATTAACAAAGACTTTATTGACGTTGTGATTGCCTATGTGAACTATTGCCACAAAAGGATCAGCATGGGGCATCATAACATTAGGTTCTCCCTCTGGTCATTTGTAATCAGCAAGACTAAATGTAATGAGTGTATTCTTCCATTCTGATTCTTCAAATGGTCATTTTAGAGGTCTGTTCTTGTCTACAGTCATTACCTGGCGGGCATAGGCTTTATGCCTTTGGGTGCTCTGGCCTCCAGAGTGCATGCCACCAGAAATCATATTTATTGTGCCAGAGGGTGGAGGTATCTCAGTATAGCCTATCCCTATATTGTCTTTTTGGTTTTGTGCCGAGGTTTTCTATCCTTGTCCTTTTCTGTTAAATTGGCGCCCTCGGTATGTTCTGCCAGGTTCAAAGGAGTATTGATTCCCTTGGTATGAATTTTGATTATTACCAAGCTGGTACCCTTGTCCCTGAGGTTGACTGTAATCTTATACAAAGTGAGTTTGACTAGGTTGCTAGGTGTAGGGTTTTTGGATATATCCTTCCAACTTTCCATTGCGAGTTAAAAATTCCAGCTCATCCTTTAGACTTTGACAATCATCTATATTGTGGCCATACCCACGGTGCTAGTCACAATATTGGCTTTTGTTTGCTCATGGGGAATCATGAAGCAAAGAAGGTGGTCTCTTGACCTAGTGTTGGATCTGCATCAAGATTTGGGACCTTGACGAGCACAAAGGAATGTAGTTAGCATATTTTGAGAAGGAAGGCGGCTTTCCTCCCTACTCGACAACTTTCTATTTTTTCTTTTCTTCCCTTCCTTCTAGATGTTTGTGCTCTTTATTTGCTTATCATCAGCTCATCATTTGAATGACTGAAAGTCTTTTGACATAATGAAGCTCCCTGATCTGTCATTCACCTCATTCCATGACTTTAGTGGATTTTTCAACAGGTCGTCCAAGAATCGACCAAGCTTGAGGTCGTGCAACAAGGCAGACAGGCAGATGATGTCAGAGACATTGTCAATGTCTACGGTGGCCTTGTTGAATCACTGCATATAGTCCCTCAAGGACTTTCCTTCCCTTTGATGAACCTACATCGGCTTGGTAGCAGTTCGTTTTATCTCCCGTTGGCTCGCAAATTTGTTAGAGAATAGAATATCAAGTTGGGAGTAAGAAGCTATGGACTGCCTAGGGAGCTTGTGATACCATTTTCTAGCAGTCGACTTCAACGTTATAGCGAACACTTTGCACATCATCGCATCAGTAGCATTTTGACTAGTCATGATGGCCTGATAGGTGTGCAAGTGTTCGTCTGGGTTGCCAGAACCATCATATGTTTCTAAGTGAGGAATCTTGAGTCCTTCCTAATACAGTTCTATAGTAATTGATAAGTTGAGGGGAGCGCTGTCTAAATCCAGGGCTTGCTGACACGACCTTAGACTCTTCAGCTCATCAACAGACCTTTGTATATCTTTAAGTTGCTTTCCAAGTTCTTCATTTTTCTTTATCAACTCCTCATTGTGTTTTGATGAGCTGGGCTTGGGGTTTGACTTCCCACTTCCCCTTGGCTTAGTCGGGACTAGTACATTGCTTAAGGCTGGGGAATTGTGAGCTACAATTTTTGCAGGTTGTTCACCCCTATTCAACAGAGGAATCAAGGGGTCATCAGGGATCAAGCGGGAGAGTATTCTCCCCATAGCCATTTCTAGAACTCAAGTTCTTTCTTCCAACTAAGACGTTCGAGCAGACTCCGCAGGTCCTCCACGTTGGGAAGTGTTATGTAAGGGGTGCCTCCGCCTAGTCCTTGTTAGAGTCTAGAACTGCTCTTCAGGCTGGGTTGCATACCTAGCTCATCATCTGAGCTATTCAATTGTTCTTGCTCTACTCCCCCTACAAAAAGGTTTCTCGGCATTGGCTAAAAATCATTCAGGTTACTCTCCAAAGGTTGAGTATCATCCTGGTCGCCTATGTTGTCTCTTAAAGGGCAGTTCCCAGTAAAGGTACTTACCATCTTTATCTTCAGCTAGTTAAGCTACACCACTTTTTGTTCAAGTTCCCATAGACGACGCCAAATCTTTGGGCAGCTTCACAAACCTACACTACAGAAATTTTCAGCTGCTTCAATACTTGAAAATCTTGAGAATGTTTCCTTGGGGAAAATACTTCAACGCTCAAGTCAGCAATACTCGATATTTTAAAGAGAGAAGCTCTCAAGAGTAATTGCGGAGAGAGAAGCGTGATGGAATTATTACCTTGAATAGAGGTAGGTGGGGGTATTTATAGCCCCTCGGTAATGACATGAGTCCATACATGTAAATATCTGATTGGTCCACGTGTAAGCACCCATGTGGGTGTGTCTGGACTAGTGTATGGATGCATCTTCATTTTGAGGCCCAAGGATGAAAGATTGGGCTTGCTATATATGGTCTAGGCTAAATGTTGGGCCTATTCCCAACAATCCAGAGTCCAAACTTTCCTTTTCTCTTCTTCAGCGGACTCAGACCTTTCATGCTGAATAAACATCCCTTGGCATGAGTTGTAGAGTGCAGCGGAGATTTCCCCACCATCTATACAATTTGTACAAAACCTCCAAGCTCTTCACATCTTGCAAATAGGTGTTCTGTTGACTCTTTCTTTTTTCCGCGCAACCCACACATTATATTTGCAGCACTGTCCGGAATTCCTCTTCTTTGAAAATTGCAACTTGTTGAAATTTTGTCCTCTAGCAATTTCCATAGAAACGCAACAACCTTCAATGGAGCCCAGTTATTACGAACCTGTTGTACAACCTTCAGTTTGCCATGTTGTCACTTTGTGTCAGCCATTTATATATATATGCAGATTGTGCCGTGTATCCCTCCTCACTTGTCCATAGTCCACTGCCAGCAATCAATCTTCCCAACCTGCAAAACAACAGAACGTATACACCTTCCTAGTTCCCCCAGCATATCCTCCTCCCAATTATAGAGACTTCTTCTCCAATTCCATGTCCATGTCCAAGACATTATCCAACCATTCACCTTTTCTCGTCTTTTTATTCCTTTGTCTATCGCTAATCTATAAAGCCTTCCAAATTTGAATATGAAAGGCTCCTCCCCAACCCACACATCTTCCAAAAACAACGTGTTCCCTGCATCTCCGATTATTTATTTCTTCACTCCACTGCTCAACCAACCTCTTTTCCCTTCCATTGCTATATCAAGGTTCTCCCCATTTCTCCTTCAGTTTGATGTACTTCTTCTACTTTCTTTCTTTCTTTCTTTCTTTTTTTGAAAAAAATAATAATTAAAGTGAATAAATAATAATACAATTATAATAAACAAATATTTATATACTTCAAAAAATTAAAAAAAAATTAATTAAAAACAAAAAATGCCCTTGAACATTTTTTGGGTGTGATTATAGTAGCACTAAGAAAAGAATTCTCCTCTATCATTTAACCTTTCTCCCTCGCATTACATATGATATAACTTAAAATCTTTTATTTATATTAAAGAAAATGGTTAAATTTAACTTTTCATCTACTAATTATTATTCTATTTTCATTTTAGTTTAGAAAGTTTAGTTTCTTTTAAATTTATCTATAAACTTTGAAAATTATTTCAAATTCATCTATCTAGCAAATTTCCGTTAATTTTTTTAACAGAATCCCATGGCATGTTTACGTGGGCAGTTTTGAAAAAATATACTTCTTCCTTTTTTGTTTTGTTTTTGTTTTTATTTGTTTATGATAATAATGTTTTCACTTTTTCATTGATATTTTTTCTTTATTTTTTATTTTTAAATTTGTAATAAATTTATATGTTTGAATTTTGATTAACAACTAAAAAAATCATCATTTTCATTATTAAGATAAAATTATATCATTTTTTTAAGGTTAATGCGGACTAATCTCAACTCTTAAACAAAGTTGAAGTTTCAACCTATATTTAGAAACTATATTTAGAAACTGAAATTTCAATTTAAAATTTAAAAATTTAATTTGTTTTTAAATCTAAATATTAATATTTAATAATAACATAAACTTTTAAATTTTAAATTGAGTTTTAATTAAATCAAAAAATATAATTTAAAGTTAGGACTCTAATTTCTTTGAGTCAAACTTGATATACATTTTTCCTTTTCTTTTTTCTATTTAGTTCAAAAAATTAATTTTATATGTACTCTCTCTTTCTCAAAATAACTTTTTTTTTTATTTTTTTAGATTAAAAATTTAAGGATAATTTATGT